TCACTACAACCATAAAAAACATTTTCCATTAAAAATAAACATGAATTTAAATAATATTAAATATTAAAAACGTACACTTATTTAATTTCAGCTTGTTGCCGAGACAGAATTTAAGTTGATGTACTAAAAAAACTAAATTAACTTGCTACAAGAAATCCAATAAAAATGACAAAAACAGAAAAATACTAAAACAGAAAAAAATAAGAAATTAAAATCTAATTCAAAATATTAAGAACAACTAGGCTAGTATTTTACCAGAGATACTAAAATAACACTTTCTTAAAATCAGTGTGATATGCCATGAGTAAATAATTACATTTCTTTGTGAGCTGCTCTTTTCAGAGACCTCAACATCTGTTTCCCCCCTGCATCTACTAATATTTTATGAGATATTTATGATTTGTATATTGTTGCATTTTTTTTTTCTGAATGCACTTTGACACGACATTCAATGTAGAAACGCAAATGCTTGCATAATTGTGTATTTATGACGGTTACAAACAGGGGATCCCAATGCATCTGAACCTGGACCTTCTTGATTTTATTTCTGAATGAAACTGATTGTTAAATTAGAATAAAATGCAAGTTGAGACAAGACCCATGGCTAGCTGTTTGAACTTTACAGATTTTGCAGAATATGAAAGATGGATAATCTGGAATTCAGTTTTTATTACTTAAAATAATAATTCTTGATAGCAGGAATAAAATGTTTGCTAGTAACAATGGTAATTCTCCATTACAGTTCTTTATACCAAACATGACATCAGCATTCAGCACTATTAAAAACCGTTAATCTTGATATCTGTAATTACATTTTCACAAGTAAAATTTTGCTTTGTAAGCCGATTTAAAATTTGCATGCCCGTTTGTCTGGACATTAATTTTGACTATCAACAATTCAGTTTTCACTTGTTAAAAATGGCTAATTCTTGATATCAGAAATAGATGTTTTGCTCATAATTTTTACTTGCATCAATAAAATGGCCTTATTAATAGTAACAGCAACAATGACAGATATCAGAAATTTATGTTGTCACTAGTGTCAACTGAATTGCTGAAAAATGATAGTTCTTTCTCATAATAATTCAGTTGTTCATGTCAAGAATATGTGAAACTGAAATTTTAACTAGTAAGAAATTATTGATATCTGTAATTGTGTTTGAGTGGCAAAGCATGGTGATATTTAACTAGCGTCAATACAGTTACAGATATCAAGAATTACACTTTTTACTGTTTCAAATTCAGTTCTTGATATTCATATTTCTGAAAGTGATTGATTTTTGTTATTTTTGATTTCAATAATTCACATTTTTAGTAGTGGAAATGCTATTAATGATATTAAAAATATTATTATTATTTTTTTACTAGTAAAAAATCCATTCCTGATATCAAGAATTAACATACAAAAAAAATATTATACTGGGAATGATTAAAAATCAAATCTGACTTGATCCATCAAGAATTGACTGGATTATGAAAAGTGGCTGCTACATAGCAGTATGTAGTCAGATAGATAAAGGGCTTCATTTCTGCCTCCCTTTGTGTGAAATGTTAATTAAATGAACAATCTGCGATCTTTCTCTCTCAGACCCCTGCCTCAGCTTTCTCAAACGAATCCATCACAATCAAGGGCAAACAGTTCTTCATTTTCAAGATGATTGGCAGAGGCGGATCCAGTAAGGTATGAAATAAGACGTATTCTCTGTATCATTTCGCATTTCCATTTGATCCAGAAATAATTCTGTTTGTATCCAGGTCTATCAGGTGTTTGACCATAAGAAGCACGTGTATGCTTTGAAGTATGTGAATCTAGAGGAGGCCGACGCTCAGGCCGTGGAAAGCTACAAGAATGAGATCGAGCACTTGAATCATCTTCAACAGTACAGCGACCAGATCATTAAACTCTATGACTAGTAAGTGTGTTGTGCTTGGAAACGGTGTACTAGCTGTTCTAGTGTGCTCCTGATCACATGACTTCCTGTTGGCTCGCAGTGAGATCTCCAGCAGCTGCATCTACATGCTGATGGAGTGCGGTCACCTGGATCTCAACACCTGGCTGCGCAACCGCAAGTCGGTCAACCCTCTGGACAGGAAGTGCTACTGGAGGAACATGCTGGAGGCTGTGCACACCATCCACAAACACGGTGACTCGCACGCTTACCTTTCATCATACATCATTTGAACAAAGTATCCAGGGGGGTATTCCAGAAAGCAGGTTATGTGACATACTCGGGTATGTTTAAGGCATTGCTCTCAAACTCAATTCCTGGAGGGCCACAGTTATGCACAGTTTAGCTCCAACCCTAATCAAACACGCAGTCTTTGCAACCTTGTCGTTCACATAGAATGCAATCTTGATTTTACAAAAAGCATGTGATACAGGACTAAGGAACGGGAAAGCACACAGGATCTTGAGAAGATCTTTAACTTGACACGCCATCTAAACATGCATGGTCAAAGATGTTTACATAGTAGAATGCAAAAACAACTATATTTTTAGTGTAGAGACAGCTTTGTTGAGTTTATAACAGGAGTGATTTCTAGTTGTGTGAACTAGTTTTTCTGCCAGACTTTGTTGTTAACGTCTAAAATAGAGACCTGCAGGTGACCCTAACATTAATGAAAATTGTTGACTTTATTTTTTTCCAGTACAAATCTTAAATCAAGATACATTTACTTGAGAAGCAAAATGACTTAAGATATGAAGTCTTGTTTTCTGACGTGAAAAATAATATCAAAATAAAGTGTGTTTATGCTTAAAACAAGAAAAAAATATCTGTCTGCTATTTTATACTTATCCCACTGACAGATTTTTTTTTCTTGTTTTAAGCGTGAACTCACTTTTTGAAACATTTTACATTTTGAACAAGAAAAATGTTTAGATATTTATACCAGAAATCAGAAGACAAAAATTGTAAATTCTAAAATATTTTGTACATTTTCTTATTTTCTTTACCGGTAAAATTATCTAAATATTCTTAAATCAAGATGTGTTCACTTCTGAAGCAAAACAAACGTGTTTTCTGAAACGTATCAAAATTTAGTTTATGCTTTAAGAAGAATAAACTTGTTTTCCATTTGATTTGTTTATTTTTCTTACCTCACTTAATTTAGAATTTTATTCTCATGTAAGTCTCATGTAAGAAATAAGAATGTTTAGATATTTGTACAGGAAAACAACAAAAGTACAAAAACATTTTTCTTACCATTATTGACCAGTTTATTTATGTACGTCTCTGTTTAATTGATGGATTTCTTTATATTTTTCATTTGAAGGTATCATCCACAGTGATTTAAAGCCAGCTAATTTTGTGATTGTGGACGCTTCACTGAAACTGATAGACTTTGGAATCGCTAACCGTATTCAGCCTGACGTGACCAGCATCATGAAGGACTCGCAGGTCGGCACAGGACTGATCTAATATTATAGAAATGACATTTCTAGACTGTGCTGCGTTGATTAACTCGTTCTTATAACCTCCGTCAGGTGGGGACTCTAAACTACATGCCACCAGAGGCCATTAAAGACACATCCTCCAATGGGAAACCAGGGTCAAAGGTGAGAAGACTACTTCCTAGTTTAGTGCCTCAATCGTTATCGGATCTCCTGTTAATATACTCCTTTCAGGGAGCGTGTATAACGGTAGATTGCACAGTGTGATCCCATCATTCTCTGCTCTTCAGATCAGTGCTAAAGGCGACGTGTGGTCTCTGGGATGTATCCTGTACTGCATGACTTACGGGAAGACTCCGTTCCAGAACATCACCAATCAGATCAGCAAAATCCATGCCATCATAGACCCGACCCACGAGATCGACTTCCCCGATATCCCAGAGAAGGACCTGCTCGATGTGCTGAAGGTGCGCAGGACGTTTGGCTGTGCTGATCAGTCGTATAATAACCCCTACAGTTTCATATTTAGTGCTCACCGTCTCTCTGTTGTCCGTTTCAGAGGTGTTTAGTTCGCAATCCTAGAGAGAGGATTTCCATAGCAGAGCTCCTCGATCATCCGTACCTGCAGCTGCAACCTGCACCTGAGCCAGGTACAAACTACAGTCTGCTTTTACTGAAAGCAATCACACATCTAAAGGTGTATGGAATTGAATATGAATATGATGAAGATTGTTATATCACCGTCACTTCCAGCAGAAGCGTGTGCCGGTGATTTGAAGAGGATCCTCAATGAATTGGCGGCTCTTCAGTCTCCCAACAGCATCGCCAGAGCTGCTAGTGTGATGATCACGAATACTCAACAGATACAAATTATATATATATATATTAGAGAGAGAGAGTTTTGTGAGTTTACCAAACTGGGGTTTTTGAGTTGATGAAACGCTAATTATTAATAAATAAATATGTGAGGTTAAAGAAGTAATTTTAAAATAAAAGCAATCAAATTAAAAAACCTACTAAACAATTATAGCAGACTGCTTGCATAAAATGATGCAAAAATCAGTTGTCATTCTATATCTCCATTAATATGTCTTAGATGATATTTAAATGATTCGTTTGATGATCAAAACACATAATGCACTGCAATACAATGATGATTGAGAGACGGACAAATAAATGTTCCTCAAAAGCCTGATGATCAGATTTGAGACGCACTGATTTTGCCAATCTGGAGACTCGAGTAAAGCCGAGCTGCTTCAGTCCAGTATGTGTTCATCTGGAAATATTACTAACAATATCAAAGTTATTCTTACATTTACTTCATAAAAATCTGTAAAGATTTGGACGTTTGTAAAAAAAAAAAAATAGTCTAAACCATCAATCCGATGATCGAAGGCATGAAGTAGATTGTGTGCAAAAGTTTTGTTGATCAAATATGATGCCGTATGCTTTTTAAGGTTGAAGCAAAAATATTATTAAAATGTTCTTTTTAACGTCTTTCTCTACCACCGCTGCAGAACCTGGCCAAGATGTGCAACAGCGGGAAGAAGTTAGATGTTTCTGAATGTGTGAAAACATCCAGTCAGACGCTGTGGAAATGACGAGGATGGAGATGATGAAGGCTGCAGGACTCCAAACCACTGTTCCCAAACGCTCAGGAGCCGCTGAGACAAATGTGTCTCACATTAAACAAGCTACAGTCAGGCAAACAGCTTCCACTAGCTGCCATCGTGCTTCACACTTCCCTCGAGATGCTTTCAACAAATGCATGTTTGTTGTCCATTTCTTCCTGTTTCTGATTTTATTTGACTACTAGATGCAATCTAAGAAAGCGTACATGACAAACATACATACCTTGTCAGGTAGATTCTTTAATATAACATATAATGCTGTTTTCTTGGACGTAACTCTAATTTTGCAATATGATAAATGTTTTCACAGCTATCTCATTATTCGTTGCATTTATTGTCTTGATGCCATTTCGTCAGAATGCATGATTACTTTTCTGTGATCATCAATCGATTAAAATACTTTCTACAGTTTGCATCTATAAGATATTCTTCCTCCTGGAATATTCCACCCAAAAAAATCCCACCAAAATAATGTGCTTTCCTGTGATGATGTCATCGAGGAATTGACTTCGGTTTAAGATACAACAACAACAACAACAACAACAAAAAAGATGGATGGATGGAAAGATGGAAAGGGAAATTGTGGGCAGTAAAACCATATTGACTGAAACGATATTCTCACAAAAATGTGCTGTTTGAAACATTGTAGTTTGTGATATTATGAATAAAGAAAACAAATATGTTTGCTTGTATAGTGTTTTATAATATAGTAGTGCATTCGTTTACCCCAAAATTTGATTCTGTCATTTACCCACCCTCTACTTATTCCAAACCTATGGAAACCCGTTTCTGTCGCTGAATAAAAAAATAAAACAAGGTAATTGCGACTTTTTATTTCACAATTGTGAAGTTTTTTTTTCTTCTCGCAATTGCGTGTTTATATCTCTCAATTCTGACTTTTTTTCTTCTCGCAATTGCGTGTTCATATCTCGCAATTCTGACTTTTTTATTCGAATTGCGAGCAATTCTGACTTTATAACTCGCAATTCTGAGGAAAAAAAGTCAGAATTGAGAGATATAAACACGCAATTGCGAGAAGAAAAAAAAACTTGTAAGCCTGGCTTTGCTGTGGTGTTTTGCAAGCAAACATAAAGCTAAAAACACATCGGCTGACATGACATCTGTCAGTCTTGTTTATAGTTGCTTGAAGACTTGCTCTCAGATACACTGAGAG